GGCGAGACGGATCGGCGCGGTGCCAGCAATAGCGGGCTATGTGGCCTACACCTCCGCAGTTGAAACAGAGTGGACGCCTGTCGGCAGTGCGCTAGGTGTCTGTTCGGCGAAGCTGTGGTTGCCGTGATGACTCCTCACGCGACGAAGGCCATGGCAAGCCAGAAGACGACTGGTCGTATGGGGGCTGGGTGGATGGGCGCCACGATGTCTCCCCTTGTGGTGGTGACCAAAGAACAGTAGCAGGTGGCGGGTAGTATGAAGGCGGAGCGGGTGGGGAGCTTCGAAGGGCGGCGGCGTACGTCATGGGACGTTGTTCGGGGGCAGGATCAGCTGTCGAGAATGCTTGGCGGATTTCGTCACGGACGACTTGAGCGACGGATGCCATGGGTGTATCCACTACCGGAGTCCGCAGCCTTTGCAATTCTTCACGAACAGTCTCTAATCATGTCACGTAAGGAGCTATGACTGTCAAACGTCACAGCGGCGGCCTGAGTTTGGGGGCTGCTGCACAAGCGGTCATATTGTCGGCAGCGTTGGTGAAGGGCCCGCTCGATAGCCGACGCTTCTTTGATGAAGTTCTCTACAGTGCTTGGCGGGTTGCGCAGAAGTCCGGCGAACAACTGCTCTTTCACGCCGCGCATGAGGTAGCGCAACTTCCTATCTTCAGTCATCTGCGGGTCAGCCCTCCGAAATAAACGTGTCATGTCTTCGGCGAACATGGCGACCGTTTCATTGGGTTTTTGGACCCTTAGCTCTAATAGTTGGTGGGCGCGGTCACGTCTGTCGACATTGGCAAAAGTTTCAACCATCTTCTGGTGAAAGTCGGTCCATGTGGACAGGTTGCCTTCTCTGTTCTCGTACCAAGTACGAGCGCTGTCATCGAGATAGAAGTAGGCCCGGCCGAGCTTTTCCTGAGCAGACCAGTGGTTGATCTTCGCAACACGGTCATAGTGGTCTAACCAGTCTTCTACATCTTCATGTGCGCCACCACCAAAGCGTTTCGGCTCCAGCGATTGAAAAAACGTTACCTGGGATGGAGCGGGAGCACTGGTGCCGAGAAGTACAGGCTGGGGGCTGGTGTTAGCCATTTCTAGATGTCCGGTAGAGGTTTTCTGCGAGGGGTTGCAGTCTGGAGGAATACCTCGTAGCCGACGACTGAATCGATGGACAGGGGTTGCAGTAAGCACGTCCGGGCTGGATGAACGGCTCCCACTAGGACTGTGAAGCATCGGGCAGCGTCACGGCCCAGCACCTCCACCAGTGTCGCAGTGCAACGCAAACAAAAGATGACAGCAGCTTACGGCAGCGAAAAGAGCGTATTCAGGATCAGGTGTACAGCAAGATGCCTGCTTCGTTGTCGTCCCGAAAAACCACCTGACCCACTAGCTGGAATCTACAAAACATTCCTATCATCGTTCTTTTTCATATAAACACGTGTCAATATATATATATATACATACTTGAATGACGAGTTATAGGACCATGACATTTTTTTAATTGCAATAGCAATTAAAGGAGTTTGACTCACAAGTCAAAACACTTTTTTATTGACATTTTCGCCGTTGATCCGGCCTTCGTCAAAATGAAACAAAACACTACAATGGTCACCACTTATATATATGCCAGTTGGTCACATGGATTCTAGATTGGTACAATTGATACACGTGAAAAAATGTCTAAAAATTTTTAAATTGTGTCATCATAATGTTAATCAGAAACATGCTCACGTATTATAAGAGTGAACAGCGATTGACAGCAACTGTGGCGACAAGGGTGAAAAACAATATGAAAGGGGGAATGTGGACAAATGATGAAAAAAGGCTTCGATTAAATCATGCTGAACCGCTATGCATAGACCTAGGCATTTGTCGCGTTGAACTGGAGGTGTCCATCACTTATTCGAAAACACAAGAGCGGTATAGTTATTGGACGTAGGCATATTATAGAAGAATCGCCTACAAAAAACAACCGTTTACGACCAAAATTTCCACTAAAGAAAAGGAGACAATAAAGAGCTTGGCTAACAATTCCGACATTATCATCAAGCAAGCTGACAAAGGAGGTGCCATTGTCCTTATGAATCGAGATGATATATCTGAGGCTTACAGACAGCTACGGAACGACACCTTCTACAGACGCTATGAAATGAGCCCCACCACTCATTTCAAATGTGTCATCAAAAAAGAATTAGAACAATTCATGGCAGATAAAAAGTTAACAGTGAAGAACCTGTCTTTGTTGCTTTCGCCAAGTCCGTAAAATTCGTAAGGCAGGCAACCCCGGTTGACCAATAGTGTTGGCTATTGGTTCCGTAACCGAGAGGATTTCCAGTTTTGTTCACACCCTCATTAGCCATATTCCGCAAACTTACCCGTCCTACAAAGACTCTAGCCATTTCTTACACAGCGTTGCTGATTTGAATGTTTCTGAAGAATCCCTCTTGGTCACTCTGGATGTTTGTTCCCTTTGCACAAACATTCCACACAAGGACAGCATCCGTCAGGAATACGAGCGTATGGCTTCTGACCATTCCTATCGTTGGCGTAACATTAGCAACATTATTGAAATTAATTCTCCAATAAAATAACTTTGAATTCAACTATGAACATTTCATACAAGTGGACAGGACTTCCATGGGGCGAAAATTGGCCCCAATTACGCTAATATCTTCATGGGTGTGCAGGAGAAAGAATTCTTAGAGGGGTACTGACAAAAAATATTTGGCCTCGCGTTTTTCTGCTGCAATGCTTTGCTGTAGGGCTGCTAGTCATGACACGACACTTTGTTGCATCACATGATAGATAATTAATTACAGGCCCCTCATTATTGACCAGTTTCAGTTTCAATTTGAGAGAGTTCCAAAAACTGGGTGCAACTGTCGCCACCTAGCGTGTGCAACTCTTGACTACGTCAGCCCACAGAACTGTGACGCACTTCTGCATGATCCGCATCAAGAATTACTTTCGAATAGGAAACGGCACTGGAATTTCGCTACACACGAAACTTTCTAAACGTGCGCCACGACCACGCACTCCCAACCAGTTGCCGAGAAATATAGACTTCGGAAACTAACGCGGCAAAAGAAAAATGGCGGCTATGACGTCATTATGTTTGTTGGCTATAACGTTTGTTGACTGCAGCGTGGTGACGTGATGGAAGTAAGGGGTCACCGCGGGGTCACCTCCGAGGGTGTCTATAGCGCTATGGAGTCGGTCGCTCACGCAAACTTCAAAATTAATACCTTCCAAGCTACATTCGCTGTTGATATCTTGCAGATAATATACGAATGTTCACGAGAATTTATCCCGCAGGCTATCTCTGCCCCGAAATTTTTTGTCAGTACCCCTTTAAGCAGTCAAACATTAACGCCACTTTTTTATAAAAGATACATTGACGACATCTTCCTGGTTTGGGAACACAGGGAGCATGCATTACTTTAATTTATAACAGCATTCAATAACGTTCACAATTCCATATCATTCTCCCATTCATTCTCAAACGCACGGATTTTCTTGACATCACTGTTTTTTTACGGAACGGCACACTAAGCACCACGCTTTTCAATAAGCCCACAGACAGGCACCAATATCTTCATTTTCACAGCAGTAATTTAAAGCAGTCATTATCACAGTCAATATCGTGAAGATTTCCAGGAAATGAAGGAGCAAAACTGAGTGATCTCATTGCAATTTTGACAGACAGCTTTCTTTTGGACGTGGACTGTATCATTATCACATTCAATGGCAATGATGGCCTCCTTAAAACTTATCTGCTCTGCCTACTTGCCTATTAAATGCATTCATTCTCCATATCTTTGAATATCACCTTGTAGCTTGATGCGATTGTCTACCTCACCTATACAGTGCAGTCCACTTACAAAGATGTTCAAATGCCAAGGAAATCCCATTGATTTAACCGATAACAGTTAAAAATGGGTTAACAAAAAAAGAAAGAGAGAGAGAGATGAAAACATCTGTTTGCAAGTAAGGTAGTGCAACTATGTACAACTTGTTTGCAGAAAAGGTATAGTCTATCAGCTTTGATTGCTTCATGCAAAGCTGGTGCACATCTTTCTGAAGAGCATCTAAGTGCTTTAATAGGTGGGCAGGAGGTCATTCGTGAACACAAGGAACTGAAGGGACTGTATCAGCCACTGGGCCTCCAGCGATGACAGTGCGCAGGCAGGCTGCTCAACAGCATATTCGGAGTCGTCGTTCTCACCACTATCCGCATCACAGTGCAGTCGGTGCCAAGGACCATTTGCGGCACGAACTGTAGCCAGATTCAATCGCTATATCTGATATCAGGGTACTGGAGCATCGTAATAAGCAGTTTATTTTGCCATAAAAAACATACAAAAGTGGATGGTGCCATCGATGTTTATCGTTATAAGTGGACTCGACTGTATCGCTCGGACAGGGGAGGAATTTAAGCTCAGCCTGCTCAAGCAGACTTCACAAGCACAGGTGTTTAGTAGTAGCAAAGAAAATGCCGCAGTAGCTTTCGGACTACGCTATGGCAAAATCTTAGATGTTAAAGGCCGAAAAATCACTTCCTTAATTTTACCAAGTCCTCAATTTAATTAAATATTTCCAGCACCCTCATTACTTTGTTAAATCAAGTTTCAATTGTATAATAAATTCAATGCATCATTATCTTTACAGTGATAGTTTTCCTATGAAACATTATTAGCATGAAACATTAATCGTACAACCATAGCTCTTCTTTTCCTGCTTGCACTGGTGTGATGAAAATTCAAATATATCTTGATGACTAATAAATTGTCCTATTTATTACCAACGTCAGTTCACTCAATCTACATGTGACACATCAGTCTCACACACTCTTTAAAATTTAAGCTACATGAGAGCAAGAATCAGTTAAAAAATAATATAAGTAATATAGCATAAGCTATGAAATACCAGCCACAGCCTTAATTTAATTAAAAAGTTGAGCATTCTTAACACAACAGACAAAAAATTGCACGCCACAGTCTGTACCTGTATTCTGCAACACCTCCGTGATATTTTTCCATGGCAGTGGCAGAACTCATGCCATAGAACATCTTGTACTTCTTGCCATCTTTCTCAATAACCTCTCCACCAGACTCATCATGGCCTGCTAACATGCCACCTAGCATCACGAAGTCTGCACCTGCTCCAAATGCCTTGCTGACGTCACCAGGGCAAGTGCAACCTCCATCCTGAAAGAGTCCAGTATTTTCAAGCACAGCATGCACTGTCATCAGCAATGTCTCAGTAAGAGTCTTTATTCCAGACATGGCTGAGCAGAAGAGGAAAAAAAAGCCACTCAATCAGGGCTGTTTGATGTATTTGACACTACTAAAAGATTCGTACATACAAACTAGAGCTATACATGTGCATATCAATGCTAGCTAAGAGCCGTGGTACAAAAAATATGGGCACATAATGATTCTAAATTTTAAAAACTGGTTTTGAATGTACTGCTCAGTGTCTTTGAATATAAGGTGTGTGTGTGTGTGCGTGTGTGTGCATGTGTGTGTGCTTGTGCGTGTGTGTGCGCATGCGTGTGTGTGTGCGTGCGTGTGTGTGCATGTGTGTGTGCGTGCGTGTGCGCGTGTGTGTGCGTGCGTGTGTGTGTGTGTGTGTGTGAAATCTGTGAAAGAAGGTTACACAGCTCAGTTTTTTTCATTGAGGATCATGAGGAAAAATGAAATCAACTCAACTGTGCAATTATTAATACCTGGGGTTTTACATGCCATGCGATAGAGGGCTCCAAAAAGTTGAGCCATTTGATGTTCTTTGATGTGCACTGCCACTACACAACACACAGACCTCCAGCATTTCGCCTCCATCAAAGTAGCTACCAAGGCCAACATCGAACTCAACTCAACCATACAAGTAAAAATAAAACACTCTGTCATCATGAGGAGACGAAAGCATTTTAATAGAGCTTGTCCACTAGGTTTGGTGAATCGTAGCAGTGGGCAGCATTTACCCCGCACCCTGCTTTAAACTCCACATACCATGCTGCTAAATATAAATATAGTTATGGTGTACTTTACAAATACAGTAATGTTTAAAAATACCTTTCTTGTATTAATATGGCACCCATGAATACCATAGATGCATACCATCAACTGTGGTGGCCATGGGGTAATGGGAATATTGAGGATTACTAGGCACTGATTAAAAAAATAATAATTCAATTAACTGTATTTCCACTACTACCACTTCATTCGTATGTTCATAAAAATAAAATAAACTAATGAACATCAGACTACACAATCTATAATCATTAACTATAAACTTCTTATTAAATCCTCCATTCGGATATTTTTGTGTCACACAGTTAGGCCAGCAAAAAGAAGTGGGACTCACTCAGAGCAGCTCAAGAAATATATTTTGTGCTTTGGACTCACCAAAATTTTTTTGAGCAAAACTCACTCGGACTCACATTCACTAGAAGTTTCTTAAACCGGAGTCACTCGGACTCAGACTCACGGAAATTTTTTTGAGCAAAACTCACTCGGACTCACATTCACTAGAAGTTTCTTAAACCGGAGTCACTCGGACTCAGACTCACGGAAATATTACTCACCCCGACTCACTCAAAGCCAGACTCACGGCTTGATCGGAGTCTGAGTGAGACTGAGTGAGTCGTCTCATGAGTACGAAGACCTATGCATTCAGTAAGCAAAATTTCTACAAGTTAATGCGAAGTTTCAGGGTCTCATGCGCATACACATTCTTACTTCCCATCATATTACATATATTTCCCATCATATATATATACTTCCCATCATATTACATCATATTAACTATATGCTTTAAAAAGACAGAAAAAAATGCTTTTAAGGTTGCAAAGTGTGTGAAAATCTTAGCATTTCGGGCAATTTCATTACCAGGTGATATTAGATTTAAAAGGTATAAAAATTTTTGTCATTCCTGATCTTGTGAAATTAATTACAGTAGGCTCTCATTAAACAGAACCTGAAAAGACAAGAAAAATATATTCCACTTAACAGGAGTTCCATTCACCGAGAGATGAACAAGGCTGCAGAATACAAGCACGAAACCAACATTGACAGAGAATCTACAGTTACTGAGAGTCTACAGTTTAGGTTCCACAGAGCAAAGCAATATTTATGTTGTCCCTATTTTTGTTGGAAAACAATATTAATGCTTTCTCAATTACATAGGAAAAATGTTCCAAAGTTCTGGAAACTACTATTGCCAGCTAATGACCCTAATAATATTTTATTGATTGATGACTGAGGTGCTTATATTTTGCATCATGGAGTGCCTAATTGTCCTGAGCAACTTCTTTTACTGATATGCTCACAATATGAAACGACCTCAGCCTTCCATAAAAAACTGAGGTAAGGCCTAGTGCATGAACATTACTAATATTACAATTAAGTTATAAAGCATACCTCAATTTATTCGATGATGATAATATAATAATAATAAAATAGGTTAATGTCCCAAAACGACGATATGATTACAGTCGAAGCCCGTTACAACGAACACAGCTTCAACGAAATTCCCGCTACAACGAAAAATTCACGATTCTCAGTCAGCAGTCCATAGGAGTCAATGCATAAATATTGTCGCCACAATGAACACTTTTTCTTCTTCCCCTCCCACTTCAACGAAATTTCACAATGCGATTCCAGACTCATATTTATTGCTATACAGTAAACTTAATCTTTAACATTTTGATGCATTTACATAACCTGAAAATACATCGACGAATTCTGAAACACGCGTTGGCACCACAAAAAACCACCGCTGTTGAGCAAGCAAGGGCGCCGCCATTGCTCAATAGCGAAGGCAATGAGACATGGCAGTCTCATTGCCATCGCTATTGAGCAATGCTTGCAGAACAGCGGTGGTTTCTGGTGGTGCCAACGTGTGTTTTAGACTTCATCGACGTATTTTCAGGTTCTAAAAATGCATCAAAATGTTAAAGATTGGGTTTACTGTATAGCCGCAGATGATCCGAAGCTGAAGCTCTGTTGCTTAGTTCATGATTTCCTTCGTGGAGCTGCTGGGTGCGTCTGCGGAACAATGCCTTTTTAGATTCCTGTGCTTATCATTTTGTTCATGCTTGGCCAGTGTGGTAACTAATCAGAGCGGCTGTTTGTGGGCATTATCAACAAAATCGGCTAGCCGCGAGTGATGGATGATAAGAATGGCATAAAATAAAGTGAAAGTCACCGCTCCACGATACCCTGCTGCCATCTCGCCGTCTTGATGACAGACAGCTGCTGGTGTTAACATGTTAATGGAACTGTTAGGTTCACTCACGAAAGCGGTTGTAATCATTGTTTCAGCGTGCTTTACACCAAGGCCTCGCTATGCATGGGTGAGAATCGCGTCGTGACGCTGCTGGGATAGAATAAAAAGCAGCGGACACTTATTCAATTTGGAGAATAAACGTTCCTTTGTTTTGCTAGTTCAGATCGGCTATATTTTTTCAATTTCACTACAACAAAATTTTCGCTTCAACAAAATTTTTCCCGTGTCCCTTCAGTTTTCAGTTTTGTTGTAGCGGGGTTCGACTGTATGAGAGATGCCGCCGTGGAGGGCTCCGGAAATTTCGACCATCTGATGTTCTTTAACATGCACTAACATTGCGTTTCATCTCCATCGAAATGCGACTGGCATGGCCGGGATCGAACCCAAGACCTTTGGGTCAGCAGCCAAGCACCGTAACCACTACACCACCGTGGCAGACTCAATTCATTCGAGTGTCATCGTCTGCCCTGTCAATCAATCAATTTTTGTTGTTGCTTTTTTCTGGAAAGAGAATTACATGATAAAAGTTTGAACAATGACTATATTATTTTCTGCGGTTTTGCAAGCTAAAACCATGAGATGATTAAGAGGCACACTTTATTGTGGGATTTTTTTTCAAGTGTTTTTGACCACCTGTAGTTTTTTTAACATGCTCCCAAACACAGGTGTTCTTGTAGTTCTTGTATATCATCCGAATCGAATTGCAGCATGCTTTCACAAAGAAATCAATCACATCATTCATTTTTAAAACAAAAAAAATTCTACTTACCGAAATTATATGGCCGTCAAGGCCATGAGCTGCATCAGAACATTCAATGACTGCGCTGAGCTGTGGATAGCCTACGCCAGTCTTCTTACGCGTCGTGCAGACAGAGCCTGGTCCAATGCCAACTTTAATTATGTCTGCTCCAGAGAGAAGAAGCTCCTCTACCATTTCTCCAGTGACAACGTTACCAGCCTGGAAGGGGCATGTAAATAAATCACACAATCCTGCCCCCACACTGAACAAAGACCCTGGCAATAAAAATACACTTCAGTAAACAGACAATAGAGACAAGTAATCACAAAAGTAAAAGCACTCATTTAAGTGTATGTGGAATAGAAAACTTCAAGCTGTGCGAAAGCTGACAACTCTGCTAATTTCAATTTCATAGTTTCTCACCCTACTAAATGTAACGTCCCAAAAGTAATGCAACACAAAAAGATGCTTCATTACCATGTCAATAAACAAATGAACAGGTAATGTTCACATTATCAAAGAAAGTCTGAAGTTTCAAACCATTTACTTTAATGCAAAGCTATATCAATTCTTTATCATGAGGTTCCTGAAGCTTCAAACAGACTGTGCCACTTGCCTTTACTACCTGAAGTTACAACACATGTTTCTGCATGGAGCACAATTTCACCAAGGTCAGCCATACTAACTATTTTATGTCAACCATATCAAATGCTCTAACCATAATTGTGAGATAGCCATACATTACAAGGTACTCGGCTGCGACGGCTGCATTTCCGATGGAGGCAAAAATGCTGTAGGCCCATGTGCTCAGATTTGGATGCATGTTAAAGAACCCCTGGGGGTCGAAATTTCAAAAGCTTTCCACTACTGCATCTCTCATATTCATATGGTGGTTTTGGAATGTTAAACCCTACAAATCTATCAATCATCAAAGCCATACATCATGGTTGATGAGACAGGCCCCAAGTAAAATTGGCACTCGATAGCTGGAACATCCAAAAGTTTCCTATTGCTCGCCACTTGAGTAGGAGACATGGCATATTCTAGCTGCTTCACCCAATGAATAACCATCTTGTAGCCCATAAAGTCAAACTCCACTATATTGAACTTAGGTAAACAATTTTATCCTTTATATTGGACTATTTTCAAACATGGCAATGCTTTAACACCAATGCATAGAAAAATATATCATTACATCAAACAAAAACAGCCAGAACACTTGATATATTGAACATCGGGCAATTCGATTTGCCCCGAGAATTTGGTTTTCGCTCACAAAAATTTTCCTTGTGAAAAGCGACTTTTCCGCATATATTTAAAAGAGCGATCGATGTCATCCGGAGGGTGCCAAGTGAAGCAAGTAGAAACCAACACTTGCTGCACGTGCTTTCCCCTTTGATTCTTCACCAAACCACAGGCCCACCGTGCAAGTTGCCGTTCGCTTCTTTGCTAGTTTTGTTACTGCGAAGGATGACATAAAACAGAAACAAAATGGGCCACAATAAGTACAGTCAAATGTCAGGAAGATAATTCTTATGTCGCCACTGCGTAAAGCATCCCAAGCAGCATGCTGAAAATACTGAAATGCGTGGCTAACATTGGGGCAACTGAAGACTAGACCCTTCATCCACCCAATGTGTATTTACTACACGGAATAAAGATTCTGAGGTGCTACTTACGTTAACATCGTATTTTCTTGCATATAGCCCACTCCTTCATTCAAACCTGCATCCCCAACTACAAGTTGCAGGAAAATATAAAAACGACAAAAAGGAAAGTATTCCCGCGAAACAGTGCATTTTACATTGTCATAGAAGTGCTATGAAATGAAACTGCACTGCAAAATTAGCACGAAATTCAATTATTTCATAACAGCAGCTCATAGAATTAATTATCTAATATATCTAATTCCAGTTCTGTATGTGTATGTATGCATGCTAGAGTGTGTGCAAGTTTTGTACATATGAGTTCACCTGTATTTTAAGATTTTATGTCATTTCAAGTAACATGCTTGTGTAAAAAAGCATCCAAACAGTGCCATAAAGTGACAAAAATATGAATGAAGCTGTTAAAGTCTTATGTACTTATCAATATGCCACACGCACTAAGACCGGCACAAAAAACACTAAAAAACGAAAATAAACATCTCACTTCAGAACAGTCGATGGTGTTCTGAAAAGGGGTATTGTGGCACGATTGTGCCTCCGCAGTTCAGGCACAATGTTGCTCTCAAGTGCATGAAGGTTATGTTATAATTGCTTAATTTCATAAGGCAGGTAAAAGAGAGGCAAATTAGCACAACCAATGAAAACATGACAAAAATGGAAACAATGGCAAGCACTTGTCTATGCTGGCTGTTTGTCTAGTTGACTAACTCGACAAACAGTCTATTCTTGTAGGAAATAGTGAGGATCTGTTGCTGTTCCCACAGCAACTGTGATAAGCTCCGCTACTGGTGATGTGTCTTTACGGTGCATGTGTTGAAGTTCTAAATGAAACGAGCACGACACTTCATGCAGGAATAGCATTTGAATATCATTACTGAAGGGATTATATTAAGGTGCAAATGACAAGTTATTAGTGTATGAAGAGTGTAGTACAACTCTGTTCATTCTTGATTGGAATGACGGCTGTGTATATTCACTTGACTCTTTCGTTACCACGTGGAAACGGTTATTTTTTATGTCTCAGGAAGATAGTTTTTGCCAGTTTGAAAAGTGCTCCAGCAAGCATTGCAGCATACCAAATTGTGTACAATGAAATGCTCTTTCCAAAAAATATTTTGAATGAATAAAAATTTTAAAAAGTGTGTAATTTTCGGTTGCCAGCTGGTTAACAGCGTAATTAAAAACATCATATCTTGAAAAATATTTTAAGAAAATTCAGAAGATACATTTTGACGATAAATGGCCCAGGAACAGTACAATAAATAAAAAATGTCGCACAGAATGTCTCTATGCGCCTTTCATAATCATATAGTGGTTTTGGGACGTTAAACCCAACATATCAATCAGAATGTCTCTATTCACAAAAACGAAGAAAATCAGAACCGAGGTGCCGCTTCATTGCTTGTGCCTTGCTGTGAAGCATTGCTTGATTTTTCGTGAGACACGAGTGAACTCGTACACTTTTCTCGGTAAATTTTTGTTGTGTTGCGATAAGGGCCAGCAGCTGCTCCATTATAGATGGATGGCCGTGATGCGAGTAATCCCTCTATAAATCGGCAGTCCCATAAACTTCGCTATTTTGTCTAGTGTCACCTCTTTCCATGAGCCACCTAGGTTGGCGTCCCAATAGGTTGGCGTTCCAGTAGGTTAACATTCCAATTTATGCATTCAAGCATTTTCTTTGCATTTTTGCACATCGTATTACAGAAAAGAACAATATCGCACATGGTCCTAAAATATTTGTCGCTGCTTCATAGTCAGGGCCAAGATGTGCTCCGGGACTTTCTTGACCTTAGGGAGAAGCTCTGCTGCCGGCGCCACCACACCTCACCCCAGCAACGCGTGGACCTCGCAAGTAACCAGAGTAGCTATAAAATTGTGCACAAAGGTCAGTAGCTACGCACTTGCTGTGGAGGAGACAACTTGAGGCCGTAAACAAAACAAACCCATGAACAAATGTGGATGTCTCAGGCTGACGCAAAACATCGTCGCCATAATATTTGAAGCTGAGGTGTAGTTATCCTCGGACTCTAAGCTCATTCTCACTCAATTCAGATGTGGTTGCTAGACAGTTTCGAGCAGTGCGTGTGTTTCGCAGTGCAGGGGTGCACCCGTGTGGGCGTGACGGCGACGCCATAGAAGCAACTAGTGACACTAGATGCGGTCCTGTGTCTGATACAATGATATAAGCGAAAGTCAAGCTGCTGAAAACAGGCCGAGAAGGCCACTTCCACACTTTACACAGAAGGCAGACCTTAGCAAATATTTTTTGTAGCGTAAATTTTCGACTAGTGGCAACAGATCTCTATTGAATAGCTGGCATAAATTTCTGGTAATTATTATGGCCAGACACTTTCAGATGGCGAAGCTGACACCTTTAATTAATATTTGACTTAGATGTTACTGTAGCTTAACCACGAGCAGCACGCACTTTGGTCAAGTTCGTCAACCAGGTGCGTTTTCCCAGCAACACGTGCACATTGATTCGCGTGAAGGTCTGTCAAAAATCACCATGTTGCCAAAATGAGCGAATTCAAATTGATCCTTAAATTTGAGTGGCTGGACTAATCACCACTTTTGCAGGAGATGCATGCTCCAATCTTCCTTGTCACCCACTTGATGCCACACGCCTCAACATGGCATTACGCCCCATGATCGCCCCAGACTTCTCCCTAGTGCAATAAGCTGCCCTCACTCACCTTTTGGCTTCCTACCGCGACATCTTTAACCTTGACGACTGAACACTCGGCGAAACTTCTCTTGTGCAGCACCGCATCAACACAGATGATACTGTTCCCATTCACCATCGACCGTATCGGGTGTCCGCATCGGAGAGCTAGATTATTCAAGTATATGTGAACAAGATGTTAACTGAAGGCATTATTCAGCCCTCGTCAAGCCCTTAGGCAACACTGTCATCCTGGTTAAAGAGAAGGTCAACACACCACGTTTCTGCATCGATTACTGGAATCCATATCGAATTACAAAAAAGAACGCGTATCCTTTGCCCTAAATTGTTGAAGCTCTCGAATGTCTCCATGGCACATGTTAATTTTTATCCATCGACCTTCGCTCTGGTTATTGGCAGATTGCTGTGGAAGAGAAAGACCAAAAAAGTACCGCCTTCGCCACTCCCAATGGCCTGTACCAATTCAAGGTTATGCTCTTCGGTCTATGTAACGCCCCAGCCACGTTAAAACGTATGATGGACTCTCTGCTACAAGGCTTTAATTGGTCAACCTGCCTGTATTACCTAGGCGACGTCCTAGTATTTTTACCTACATTTGAGACCCACCTTGAGCATCTGTCAGCCATTCTTGACATCTTCCGCAATGCTGGCCTCCAGTTGAACTGCTCGAAGTATCCCTTCAGCCGCCGACAAATTACAGTGTTGGGCCACCTTGTTGATGCATCTGGTGTGCGGTCAGACGCTTAGAAAATTCGTGCCGTCACGAGTTTCCCAGTACCCCGATCCACCAAAGATGACCGGAGCTTTGTGGTACTTTGTTCCTACTTCAGGTGGTTCGTGAAAGACTTTGCAGCAATCGCCCA